GAAGTCGCCGGTCTCCCCGCTTTTTCAAAGAGGGGGGGGGGGGGGGCCACGCGGATTCCTGTAGGGTGTGTGTGCGTGCTGCGTGTTCTGTCGTTCATGTACGGTCGGCATGTCTTTCATGCTCGTTGCATTCATTGCTTGTTCACGTTTCTGCTCTTGCGCTGCTTTGCTGGAATGCTGCTAATGCGACGGGATGCTGGGGTTGTGAGTTAGCGGGAGGTTGTGTAACGAGATGGTGCTGGGAGGGAGGGGAGGCGTGTATAGGAAGGATGGCGGGCGGGCGTCTGGTTGTCACGGACGAACATGTGCAAGCGCAAGCGGGGGCCGGGTCAATAGCGGTGGCTGGTGGTGGACTGGGTGGCTGAGGGAAGGGGGCTGGTGGAGGAAGGAGGCTACGTGAATCTTGTGGCGTCTGATTTGACGACGGCTTCCAGAATCCTTCCTCCACAACCTTGGGCAACGCCTGTCACTTCCGGTATCTGCCGCTGAGAGATCAATGGTCCGGCTGATTGTCTCAAGTTATTCAGTTACCCTTTAAGCGCCTTCTGCTATCAATGACAATGGCAGGGAGCCGTTTGGCCCAAAGCTAGATGAGCGGCCTCTGTTGTCCTCATTCCCTTTACAGTTTCCCCCCTCACTTGCACTTGGCCCAGCTTAGGCCTAGACCATAGCCCGACGTCGAAAGCCCTAGATACACAGACTTCAGACCGCTCTCGGGCGGGCTGCCTCGACGGAGCTCACGGCTTTCCAATAAGCGTCCGGTCTTCCGCCTCCCTCCGCTCCCCCCCTCCTGTCAGAAAACTTTACGCAAGCCAACAACCCCTCCACCCAATGTACTGGGACCCGGGAGTGGTAGTAGCAGAGTTTAGACACTGCCTCCCGGCTTCACGTCTTCTCCATGCACAGTACGCAGAGGCGTTTGGCCTCGGGACACGCGAGGGCTTGACGAATGGAGTTCCACCAACCGTCTGTCAACAAAAAAAGAGTAGGGGTCTGGGTTAGAGGTTATTTCGACGTCCAGGCTCCGGCGAGGTCTCGCGCCATGTGGCGTTGTTTTGATGGCGACATTGCGGTCTAGACCCTGCGTTGGCCGTGACGACCTCGACAACACGGCCAATGTTTGCGGCTTTCGGCGTAGCCGTCAGACTCGACGTCCGGATACCCCGCTGCGGTTGATCACCTCGGCGGTCTTGACAACTTCGAGGCCGTCGGATAGCATGTGGTAGGACTGGGCCTCATCGTCACAGATTAGTCTTCGAGAGCCAAGTCCATCTCCCGCATGCGAGATTCCAGTCGCTCTAATCCCGCGACAATATCCTTCACAAAGTGCCGTTGCAGGTACTCGTTATCAAGGTCCGTTTCGCCGAGCCCAAAGTCGCAACCGAGACACTTCTTGACAATTCTGGGGAAATTCGAGCCCATCTGGTTGACCAAGAGATGGGCCAATTTCTCTGCGGCTCGGTAGTCGGCGATTGCCCTGTCAGGCGGCATATCCCACCCAGTCACGCTTTCTCTCAAGGTGCTCCATGGTCGGCCGTAAGCAATCTCCAGCAGCAGGATGCCGAAACTGAACAAAAGCTTATTCCGGGCTGCTTCGGCGACGTGCCGTATGCCACCCGGCTCGCCCTCAGCGTCTTGAAGAATTGCCGGGCCAGCCCTCCCATGTTCTGCGCATCTTGTACCTCTAAGTTCTGCTGCGAAGTACGGGCCTCTCAACTCGATCGCATCCGAAGGCACTGGTGCTGAGTTAATGTAACGCACATTCTGTCCCAGATCCGAGTCGACGAGCCAGGGCGTCGAGTAGAACTGCATGATACCTTCAGCAATCCGACTGGCCATTTCAACCGAGGCCGGACGAGAGAGGGATCGCACGACAGGTTTCTCAGCAATCCACTGGATGAGATCCGAGATGGACTGGGATGCATTCTGCGTCTGTAAGGCCGCCTCGGGAATATGGAACCATTGGGCGCGAGGTAGCTCCCATGTCGCCACCAGCGAACGCTGTATGCAGTCCGACGTGAGGATGCGCAACTCCCTGCAAAAGTCCACGACTGCTGATGGGTTGGGAGTCGGTGAAGGCACGGCAGCCGTGTTCATTGGTTCAGCCACTGCGCTGGCGGTCACAGACTGTGGAAGGTCAGACGGATGGGCCACCGCGGCCTCGGCAGGTCCCGGCAGCCGCTTGTCCGAAGTTGAGATACCTCGAAACAGCCTCCCGAGCCCTGCTTTCGACTTCGCCAGCTTGACTGGTCGGACTCCACCAACATTGGTCTCAAGAGAAATTGCCAGCTGCTGAAACTCTGCGACTCGCTGGGCATCACCTTGCTGCCGCAAATTCTGATTCTCGTCGTCCGACTCGCAAACTTGCTCGATCTCCAGTCGCAATTCCGCTTCCGTGGGTGAAAAGAATTGACCAGGAACTGTGGCAAGTTCGCACGTCACATAGCTACAAGCATCAACTTTGGCCTTCCCTTTGCCAGTATTCGTATCATGACCGACAATGTTCAGCGCAAATGAATGAGAAGGGTGCGATGAGCACATCCAGCGCTCGTGCAGTGTCGAGTGGATGGCTTTGGAAGCATATCGAGTCCGGCGATACTTCCGTAGGGTGTCCATGTCGCTGAACGATCGGTACGATGCATTGTGCTTCCCCCCTCGAGAATCCAGGGATAGCTGCCGAAGCCCATCAATGATATGAGTGGCAATGGATTCGAAATCTCCGTTCAGCGCTCTCAACTTTTTGATGGCTTTTTCGGTCTGCGGCTTGCTGAGACCGAGCTTGACTCGAGATCTGACATGTTTGAACCATTCCGACGTACTCAGCTTCTGCTTGCCCATAAGCTAATGTCTACGAGACTGCGCATGCGAACCTCACCTGACTGACGGTGCCCACTTCGCACCGGATGGCTTCGAATTGCACGCACAACTCTTGCAACACACAGTTTACTTGGTCCGATAGCTGTCGGCATGATACGAATAGCTCAGCCAGAGTATCAATGCGATGCCTATACATTGGTGACATGCTGAGGCGTGCATGTGCAGCCGGCAGCTCTGGGGACGGTCGCTTTAGGACCTCCTGCACCGAGTCGCGATCTTGCGTCACCGCCGTGAGCAGGTTGATGGCATTGTTGCGGAATATGACGCGCTGAGTACCGATTTTTGCGTCCAGGAGGTCGACTTCTTTCGCATAATGCCGGAATGTCGAAATTGTCTCGAACAATCGTCCTGACCTGTCGTACGCCTCGAGGGCAATAGGCACTGAACCGAGAACGGCGCCCACAATGACTTCCACGCCACTCATTATGAATCAAGGCCGACTTCTCCCTTCATTCGTGTCTACGATCGTCAGTGATTTGAGCGAACATTGCTTGCCAACGCAGCAGGTGTGAAAGGGTGGTTCAGAATGCGTGAAAAGAGGGGCTCACAGCCTTGCCCATGCACGACGACAGATCAGCTGAACATGCTCGTTTAGGGACGAATAGGTCGCAGTTTCGCCTGCGCCTCTCATTCGACACTTCATGAGCCACTGGCTGACCTTTACTTCATGAATAGAGGCGCTCACCTGATGTTCCTGCCGGCTGCCCCCGCACCTCCACATTTGGCATCCTACAAACAACCATTTTTACGGATGTTTACGAGGTAGTGCTGCTGAGGCGCCTAGAATCCGATATCTATTTTTTCTTCTCGACCGCGTTTTCATGGGTCGACCTTCGTTTCTGAGCCGGCATGATGTCGAAACCTGGGCGTCTACCCCTAAGGCTCCCGAGCACGGATCTGGCTTCATAGCCCAACTATTCATAGCCATCCGATCCTCCATGGCATCTCTTGTCAAGAGCCTTTCAAAAACCAAACATGACGCGGAAAGGAAATGTCGCAACGAATATGAACGTTTCTTTCTTTGGGGAGATGGGCTATCAGCTCATGACGGGTTTCTTGATGAGGTCCTGGCACCTTCACAAGAGCTTCGAACCCATTTGGTCACTTTACTTTGGCGGCTCGGAACAACCGTCTCACAAGCACTTTCTCATGAGCTGTCTGATACTGTAGAGCCCAGCGCGGCCAGCCAACTTCCAGAATTACTGGAAAAAGCCGAGACCATGATGCAGTACACGATGTCTGAAGAAACACCCAATCCCAATCCCAACTCCTCGTCAGACAGTTTAGCAATTAGCCTTACAGAGCTCGTCGAGGACATTGCTGTTTACATCAACTGTCTGATGGATCTATCTCATACTCTGGAAACACCAGCGTTGGAGACTGTACTGAAGCATGACGAAATTGCGCAGACGTCTGTGGAGATTGAAGAACAATTTGTTGTTTCTTCCGAAGAGGCCATGGTCTATTGTCGCAAAATTCGTGACCGGTTTGGACTTCTACCAAAACTTCTGGTCGAACGACTTGCTGAGGCCAACACGATCCGCGCTGGGATGTTGCGTGAGATGAAGGCCACTAGCATGAAGCCACAGACGCAAATACAAGATGATGTGACGGAGACCTTATTCTCCAGCCGGCCCGAGACCACCATTCCGACAAACTCGACTGCGCCTTACTCATCTATATTCTCAACTAACCGAAAGCCAGTACCGATATCTGGGTTACGATATCCTGATCGCGGTGCTCAATACGACGCATCGCTGGCCACCCTTGCTTCTGGGAGAAGCATGTCATCGGCAGCGGTATTCGACCGCCCTCAAATACCTCCAATGCCAGAGAACTATGGTCATGGATTTGTCTGCCCCATTTGCTTTAAACTTGTAGCAGAGGTGAATACGAAAAGAGAATGGAAGTACGTCGCCCAAAACCTCTCCCCCTTGAACTCCGAAATAACACAGGATGAACTGACTCAATCGGCGCAGATCACACGTGTTTACAGACTTGACACCCTATATATGCACAGACATGAGTTGTCGTGACACGACATTGTACAATCAAACAGACCGATGGGCAAGCCACGAGGCGACACATCGTCCACCGTTGCAGAAGATAGATAGTTGCGCATTTTGCGAAGCAACATTCCAGCAAGAATCTCGTATATTCTACGACCATGTCTCAAAGCACCTTCAGGAGGTGTCACTTGCTATCCTGCCCCGAGCGGTCGATGACCTAGGGGAGGAGGGGGCAAGTGATAGCGATGAAGACCAGCAACAACCCGAGCCAGCCAGTGTCGGCGCTGCCTTTATGCAGGAAGCCTCCTGGGATCCTGTTCTTGATGATTCCTTCTACTTCCCCATCGATGCAGAATTTCTCTCAACTCAAGAGTGTATCTCAGCTTGGAACACGATTCGAGTCTTGTGCGAGGCTGTGGTCCTCGGACGGCACATTTCACATCAATACATGGTTTATACCCACTCCAGGGGATCTTCTCTCAGGCATGATCTTGGCAATGTTACAACCTACGTGGGAGTTGTACTTGAGTCAACGCGGGCCCGAACCAATGCTTTGGATTCGAGTTTCTATCGACAGCCTCTTGCATTGCAGGTCTCTGGCCCTTTGGATGCATGCACCAGATACTTGAGTAAACTATCTGAAACTGCCAGTATCGATCTCTTGCAGATTTTAGTGCAGGGATTTGATGGCGTGGAACGTCAGATACATCAGGATCTTGCCCCCTATGTTCGGTACGTCAATACATCTGGTGTCAGCTCGTCGACGAACAGCCTTGCAGAAAATCGGCTAACTCAAGCTTGTCTCCTCTGTGGCAGAGCTAGAACCGACTACGAGAGCATTCGGTTGGAAAATATTGGTCATGAGCTCCGTGCTTTCGTCGGGAAGCATTTCCAAGGCGTTCTTACCGCATCAGTTCTGATGCCCCTCGACCAGACTTCGATGTCCATGTACACATGTACGTGGCCTACTATCACAAATTCACAACTCCTCGGGGTCACAGGGGAAGCACCAATAGGCACACTCAAAGCTTCCAGTGATGATCATAGGCAGCAATCCATCGATCAGAAACTCATCTCCGCAACCAAGGAGGACCTCCATGACCTTGCGCGCTACTTTCTGCAGGACGAGACACCTCGAGCAAACCCAAACGCTACAGACATCCACGGCATGACAGCCTTGCATCATGCGGCTCAGTCAGAGGGGGATACTTTAGGCTTCATCAAGCTGCTCTTGGCGCATGGTTCTGAGGTTGATGCTCGATGTCAGGTGGAGTATCCTGACTTCTGTCGCGGTGGCGACGAGAAGCCTGTTCCATGCGCGGTCTCAGGCCATACCCCTCTGTTCCTAGCGCTCCGCCATGGGCGGACTGCCGCAATGGAAGAACTCCTGCTTCATGGCGCCAGCATGCAGGCGGCACTCTTTGAGGCCGTGACGGCAAAGGATGCCTCAATGGTCCGCATGCTTTTCCGTCTACGAGAGGTGAATAAATGGACGCTTGGGGCTTCATTCACGCTCACCGAAGAGTACCGTTACAAGGGAAAGCGCATACCCCTCAACCCCCTCGAATTAAGTGCCGCCCTTGGTGATCAAGTCACTGCGGGAGTCATTCGAGAAGCCCTGCTGGCATCGCATGGCCACGACCGGGGAAATGATCTGGTTGCCTCCGCTTTTGGAACAGCGCTGAACCTAGCTGATATCGACATGGCGTCTATTCTTTCCGGGTTCTTTGACGCATGGAAGCCTTGGGCGACTCGGAGCGACAAGCAGGGGAACAGCCCACTGGCGCTTCTTCTCAAAATGATTCTCGCGTCAGGCGAGGAAACAGTTCAGTCAAACCAGGCAACTCTCCAGACCATTGCCGGCAACCTCGTCCGTAGTGTAGCAGCAGACGAGAGGGACTGGCTCGTGTTCAAGAACAGCAGCGGCGAGTCGGTTGTCAGCATCTTCGGTGACAATTTTGCCGAGCTGGAGTTTCTCAAACCACAGCTTCACGAGACCTCACTTGATCACCACCTGCAAGCAAGGAGGCGGAGAGCGCAGAGCAATCCACGGTTGCGCGTTCTAGGTGCAATGCAGAAGCGCCATGCGAGGTTCACAATCGGAGGCGACGAAAGTGAGGATGCTGGTCAGAATGATGAGTAATGTGTCGCCGGGGTGCTGTTGCCTAACTCTTCTAACACAGAGCCGGTTTCAAGGTTTATACAGCACCAGAGGCTACGGCTGTGTACATGCCCGTGCCGTATAATGACTTCTTCTAGAATGGGGTGCCTTTGGTAAAGTGTAGTCGGTTCCTGAATTCGGCGACGCAGGGCAGGCTATGGTATGCCGGACAAGAACGTGCAAGATAGACTTGCTGAAGGCAAGAATCGGCGGTCGGTACGAGCTTAGGTAACTAGTTGGGGGTTGGAAAACGTATATTGCGATATTAATGATAGACCTCCTTCCAATTTTCAAGTTTATTATGCTTTCTTCGTCAGAACTACGAGTGCGAGCCTTGGGTTCTTTACAATTATAATACAAGGAATAAATCATCGTGATAAATTCTTGATTTCTACGTAGATTCAATCACACAGCCAGTGCTGTATACCAATGCTGGCATTACGGGTGGTGGGATGTTATATGCGGTAATGACTGACTTGTTTTGACTATTTGGACGATACTAATAGATGAAGATAAATCGACGGGGTTAATGGGATAGCCTACTTAGCTTCGGGATTTCGAGACCATTCCGAAACAGGGGCATAGCAGAAAGAAAATGACGAGAGGTAAACGTGGCATCATGCATCATAAAATGATCCACTCAGGTTATCCGGCACCACATCGTTGTGGACAACAAGGCGATTCCCAGATACTCTTTCGCTCCAGAAAAGCCTGAAGACCACGTCCTTGGCTTGTGCCGATCATCCAGATGTTTCGTCTTGCAGCGTCGGGGACGCTGACGAAATGGCTGAAATGTGGCATTGCCTAGCGCCTCCTGAGGTGACTGTAAGATATCTAGGGAGACGCTTCTTTCGGGCCACCCTCAACGTGCAATTCGGTAGGGCCGATCGAGTTGAGAGTGCCTTCACCTTCGCAGCGGCGCATAGGTTCATTGACAGGCCTCGAACAGAGCGAGATCTCGCCTTGTATGAACGTGATTCCGTTAAGGACGTGCTCCTTGAAAGAATCGGCCATGAATTTAGCAACCTGTACCGCACGTCCCTGGCAGCCTTTCATCACAATACCGAAGCGGCGTGTCGTTGCCGGGTTGATAACAATTGCGCCATGCCTGCCCGCGGGGATAGAGACCGTGCCATGTTGCCTTGAGTCGGTTGTCCAAGCTTTGCTGAAGGAAACGCCGAATTCTGAGCTCAAAGATGATGTAATGAAGTTCATCTCTGAAATGAGGCCAGAAGTGATCGTGATGGTATCAGTGACGGACCTCCCATTCTCAATCTCGATTTCGATTGGTCCCCTGAACACCTGGCTGAGCTGCATGTCCCAGCCGATGAACTCTTCTGTCGACGTGATGCGTATTCTATGGTCAAGGACGCAATCTTGTGCCGATAATTGATCTCCGGCAGGGGCTGGGCTGACTGCCAGATGTTCATTGCTATCCACCGAACGTACAACCTTGGAGTCTCCGCCTTCGTTCCACTGTCAGCTTCGGCTACGCACACAGAAGCGAGGAACACAAAACCAGAACTTACCGGCATAACGAGCAATAACGTCTCGAATGGCCCTATTCGCAGATGCTAGCGAAACACCTGGTTCCACACTTGGGGCCGCGGCAGCCAGGGCAACCATGAGGCTCAGGAGGCAAGCGACACGCATGTTGATGGAGTAGATAATTGGCGAGGTTTGTTGGAAGATACGACTTGAATGTGAATGATGAGACTGATGTTAGATGAGTTCTTCAGGGTGCGGTGTCACATCGCTACTTATACTTGGCCACAGAACATGTCCAGGCGCAGGACTTGAACTCGCCCCGGGAGCTGCCACGCGCCGGCCGCCTCGCTTTCTCGACCACAAAAACATCATGACTCAAATTCGAACCTCACGATCCTGGCTCGAAGTTAAAAATCTGCTGTTACTGGCCGATGATAACACACAGAAACGGATTCGCCGTTCAGTTTCGGAGGTAAAGGCCTATGAGACTCCGTTGAAGCGCATCAACTGCTGGCAGAGCGAACTCAAATTGATGATAATGAAGTCTTCTTTGATGATCATTGCCAGGAATAATGTGTTTACGGCTTTTGACAAGTCGAAATCCCGAGGCTTGTCCCAGATACGCGTATTGCTTTGGTATCTCTCCGGGCGTTCTGAAATCGTGCCACCTGAAGCCTCGGTTCAATGAATTTCTAAAGTGCCGTGATACCCACTACTACGGGCTGACCCCATTGAGGCTTAGTTGCAGGTCTCACACCGTCATATGCTTGATCAGGCGAAGCTATGGAATTGAACTAAAAGGGTATGTATTAAATCAGCGACGTATCTTCAGTTGAGCTGCATCCATAGATGTATGTGTAGGCTGCAGGCTCATACACCGTTACAGGTCTGGTCTTTTACACTCGCCAACTCTTCTTCCGCTTGATGAAAGGAAACGAACGTAATGCGATCGCCGAGGGCTCGGCTATGACTGATCACAAGGTTTGGTCACAGTAGGATGCAGAGACTTCGGAGGGATAAGTCAAAGTCTCTAAATATCTGAATAAACCGATACCCGTGTACGAGCACTCGGCGAGCAGACAACGACGTGGCTCGGTTCAAGCCCGTAGCTATACCTTGAAAGTTTTACCGAAACGGAGATAAACGACAAGAACTGTATCCAACGTACAATATGAGGTTTGACCTTGAATGAACTCATCCCGTCGAAGCCTATTACATAGTTACAGGCTAAAATTTCGCACAACTCTCAGATTAAGACCCACCAGATTGCCCCAGCTGACCCACAGGCAACTTCACGGGGACAGGCTGTCTCTGCATGAGGCCTGGCAGCTAGCTGTCAACCCAAATCCACGGCTGCACCCCTTGTCGAGTCGAGGTACTTGCACCCACCGCGATATATACCTCTCCACGGTAACTTTACAGAAACGCCCACATAAGCTTTGGATAGATCAAAGATATTGCTAGCGCGAACGATGGGTCACATTATTGGGGGAAAAAGTTTCGATACCCTCCGAGGTAGCGACCACCCCTACCTGTGGGGGTACGCTTAGACGGTATAACCAGTGAAGTTCCTTTCCTTTCACAAAGTTATACCACCTTATTAAGGCTGGCCTGACAGCTGATGAAATGTATATAAGATACTAGGGCAATTGTTGGGGAAGTCATCAAATAATTGGCCCCCTGATCAGCCCCGTGGTCGGCCCCCCTGGTCGGTACTCGTCCCGCGGTTGAAACTTAATGAACTTGACAGTAAACTGGGGGTCCGAGGCCGGTGAAGGTTAGAGGGCTAAAGAGATTTAGGTAGGTCGTGTATACATGTATACGGTAGCTCAGATCAGTACCGGAGTCCAGAATCCGAAATACGCTTGCTTCGTTCACTACACGCCGGCTGCGTGCCAAGAAAATGAGGAAATATCCAGGATCTACCTCCGAAGAAGGGACTCCTCCTGAACAGGAACTGCTCTTTTGCAAGTCTCATTATAGCAAGCTTCATTCCAACGGTTTGTCCTTACTGAGCAGACAATGGGCTGGGATTCACAGCTTCTCGCCCAATTTCTATTCCTGGTTCACAAAAGCAGCCTGTCGAAACAGTGTCCGGAAACTTCAAAGATGCAGGTGAAATCAGCTGGAAGATTGAATCATGTCCAGCAGCGAGTTCTGATAGAACCTGGGTAAAAATCACGCCAATGAACTTCCAAAGGGGAGGTCGGTAATAGCCGAGGCACGTGAGATCATGAGCGTTAAGAACCGACCTAGTAACTTCGCAACTTGCGCTTAAGAAGGGTTCGAAGGTCACTTGATCAAGAATAAGTACTACAAAATTTTATTTCTTTAGCTTTGCTAGATGGCCTTGAATGGCAGCGGTGTTGACCGAAAGCCTAAGACGGCAATAAACTTTGTCGTAGTGATTCAGGTTGATAAAGATTCATGAACAACTCCATCGGTATCTTCCGAGCACGTGTCAGATATCAGATCGCTATAAACTTTGCGGCCCCTTGCTAGTATGGAATGTGATGATTGAGGACTCGGCTTCATGTGGCACAAACTCTGTGTGACTCGACTTAGGCAATGCTTGACTGCGGTAACCACCACATCGCCAACTCGGATGCCGAATTCGACACTTGGAAACGTACTACGAGATCCTTCGAATTCATGATTATCGAGAGACTTGGCCGTTCTGAAAGCTATAAAAGGGGTCCATTTGGCTGCGACCTGAATGATGTTCATGTCGCATCCATTCATCTTCTCCCCATCTATCGAGCTACATCTTTCTCAACATCTTTAAACCCTTCCAACATGAAATATTCAGTTATAGCAATGCTTGCTTGTTACGCCACGAGGTCCGCCGTTTCTTGATATGAATCCTGCCATGGCTAACTCCTGAAGCAGCGTCCTCGCCAACTCGCATCATTGGGGTGTGTGTGCCAGGAAGATCAAGGTCGACTACTCTGGTCGACTGGACAGGCCCTCCTCAACTCCGATCACAACTGGCGAACAACTCGACGTGGCCACAAAAGCGGCTTGCAGCGACCTACAACTCCAGAATGCCGGGTATACTTGCAAAGACTGCGTATACGTAGGCCTGTCTAGAAGCGCACATGTGGATACTGTGATACTGATCATAAGCTTAGGATGAGGGACAAGGTTCCTGCCACTCACCTTCAGGACATCTTGGGGGCAAAGAGGTAAGAAAATGTTTCCAAGACGGAACAGCAGCAGACTGATACTTGGCTCTCTCAGTGGCATTATTGGTGTTTGGTTCACAAAGACGCGGACCCAGCTGGCTCTGTTGAAGGTACGATCGTGAACTAGAATGCTCGGTGGCCTTCTGATGCTGTTGAGGGTTGGCTTGAAGGCAAGGACTTACTGCACTCACTGCGACTTCGGGGTTTTCTGATCACATTTCGCCCATGTATGTGATTAGCGACGTATTCTTATTGAATCAGACCAAGTTTTCCTCGACTCCATGAACCAATACCGCTGTTGTGATTGTGATTGTGTCAGGTGGCCCTATGGAGCTACTAAGCAGGGGGGTGGCCAGGGGCTAAGGTTACGAGAAGCATATATATATAGAGTGCGGAGGGCCCTCCAAGCTGCGCAGGGCCAGAAGTCAGATGTGTTCCGACCCCCTAACCCTATTATCTATTGCCTGCAGACCACGTGTGGAAGGCCCACTTCACTCTGCTCTAAATCACGCTCTGACAGTTTGTGATACGCATCACATGAGCTTTGGACAAGCTTTTGTTTCCGGCATGGTTATGCCATGCATACGATACCGCCTGCGTTGTTTGCAGTGTGGCACTGGGCTCTTCAACGGCTGGCATCGAGGGTGCGACTTGCTCGAAGCTCTTAAAAGCTGCTATACGTGGAGCTGATCTCTCGTCGACTGCGTTCACCGGACTAGGTGAAATTACCTGTTGTAGTGGCTCATTGAGTTGTATGCCATATGGTCTGCTATCTTGAGCTTTGGACGGAGATCTGGGAAAGCATCGAGTAGATCTTGCCGAAGTTGATGACCCCTCGTCGCAGCTTGTCATATGCAAAGTTGCTCCAAAGATGATCGTGATAGGAGTGTTTCTGGGTTTGGACGCACTTGACACCGGGAACCAATGATATCGAGGACATGGAGAAGCCAAACTCTGAACTTTTTAACTGGTTCTACTGTTTGTCAAGCAGTGCAGATATTGACTTTGGCGTGGGAGTTTCCGAAGACTTTTGCCCGTTTCTCATTTGTGCTTGTTTTCATGACGGGGCCAGCATTGAGCGTTGTTTTGCTCTCTGCCATTCATTGTTCATCGAGGAGATCTTGCTGTTCAGCCTCGTGCAGTCAGGATGGCAGCCATCATGAGCGCATCCATAGCAATCGCAGGACCATGTGGCCAGGGCAGCAGGCAACGGCGGCAGACACATCACAGACCTCACATTGACGTTTCAGTGTTCCATTCGTTTGCCTGACCCTTTTACAAACCAGCCTCGCGGCACAGGGGACCAGAGGCACGCCATGCGAATGCATCATCGAGACAAGGCCCGTCGCGCAAGAAGGAGGACCGTAACAAGAAAGCCGCAAGGGTTGTTTTTCGCGCGTAAAAGACGTCCCGCCCCGTGGGTCTGGGTTTTGTGATTCCATTTCCACTTTTGACGCCGGGTAATAAGTTTGTCCAGTCCATGCCAGCCAGCCCCATTCCCCTTTCACTCCTCATCCATCCCCTTACAGCATGCTGCTCTTCTTCCACAGGACCTTCCCCAGCCGGCGGGCCCTCATCCTCCTCGAGACACGAAAAAAAGTACCGTCATGATTTCGCGCAGACGCGGCAGGAGCCCTCCCAATACCAGTGTCGAGAAGGTCGAGCAGCGCCAGAGAAGGTGAGAGTTGATGCGCCGCGGAGGATTCCGTGTCCTTTGCCGCCAAGACGCGCCATCGCCACCCGGAGGAAGGCGAGACCGCTTAACGGTAGGACTTCTGGAAGCGAGAGCGGGCACCCTTACCACCGAACTTCTTGGGCTCGCACCGGCGGTTGTCGGCGACAAGGAGGGTACGGTCGTGGGCGACGAGGGCCTGCTTGAGCATGTTCTTGGAGTGCTCGTCGACGAACTTCTGGTACCAAGCGATGAGGGACTTGGCGATAGCCTGACGGATGGCGTAGATCTGGGAAGTGTGACCACCGCCGGAGACGCGGACGCGGATGTCGACGTCGGCGAACTTGTCGAGGCCGAGGACGAGGAGGGGCTCGTAGACCTGGGGCGAGGGTTAGCAAGATGTGTTCGGTGGAAGTCGTTTTCATGTCATGTTGATTTTATTATATTGTTGATGTTTGTGTTTCTGTGCTTGGGGTTTCGGCCGGTAGGGGGAATCCAGAATTGACAACGTTCGTCATGTGCTGAGGGAAGAATCGTACCTTGAAGCGCAGGATCTCGGGCTGGACAAGGGACAGAGGCTTGCCGTTGACCTTAACAAGACCCTTACCGGCCTAGTGAGAGAGAGAAAAATGTCAGCACTTCCTGCCGGATTGTCATGTGTTTTCGTTCGTCTGGCGCCTCCCATTCCATCACCAACGTCGCCCTTTTCCTTCGTATTTTTCTTCTTTGCTCCTTTCCTCTTGCTCGAGCGTGGGGGATTGCCCAAGGGGGAAAGTCTCGTCGCACCTTGCACTGGGCGACAGCCGTGGCCGTCTTCTTCTTGCCGAAGCACTGGACGCTCTGCGAGGACGACATGGTTGCTGCGATGTGGGCGAGTGCGAGGTTAGTTGTCGCAGCGAGTGGGAAGGCGGGCGGTCGATATGGCGTTCACGGGTCTGAGGCTCGTCGCTTGCTGGTCGAAAGTTTTCGAATTTGGTGAGGGTTGTGCCCCAATTTCCCGCTAAGCCTGAAGTGTGGAGGTGCAGGGCACGTGACGGAGCCGGGGGCAGCTCGATTAGGTCAGCGTTCGAGGTCGGTGGTGGGGCCTCTCGCGGTTGGCCTGTGCTCGACTCGGATGACAGCATCTCTCCGAAAGATAAGCCTTTCCACAGCAGGCTTATCGATGGGAGCGAGTCGCGCTGGACCGTACATGGTGTTCTTGAACCCCTCAACCGCCCTGCCTAGGCACCTTGCAAAATTGGGCTTCCTAAGGTAGGTAGACAACCAACTCATTCCCATTCCTCGACACCTGCTTCGAGCAGCCTCACGAGAGGGCTCTACAAACAGCGCCATGTCCCGCAAAGGCATCGGCATCGGCGCCTTCGACCGCCACCGCCTCACCTCGGCCCAGTACGCCTCCCACGGCACGACGCTGCGCACAACCAACGCCGCAGCCCTCGAGACCCAGCTCGCCGTCTTCCGCTCGCTGCTGCAGCAGTTTGCCCAGACGCACGCCAGAGGACATCCGCTCCGACCCATCCTTCCGCGCGCAGTTCGCGCGAATTGTGCACCGCCATCGGGTTCGAACCCGCTCGGGTCGTCCGGCGCAATCGTCGTCGCCGTCGGCCGGCAAGGACCGGCGCCGAGAAGCAGACTCTGGGGGCCCATGCGTGACCCGCCACCATCCAACAAGTTTTAATTT